AGCAGTGCTACATAGTCGGTATGACAGATTTCCTAACCTGAATAGTCGTCAACTTCAACGCTTAATATCTCGGTTCGTAGGGCAGAGCGACACTTTTTTCTGCCAGATTCTTTCGTTTCATGCAAAAACGCGTCGAATAAGCCTAATTTTATCGATTTTTGAGAGGAGCGGGGTATTCTTTACATTTACCAAAAAAAGAACCCTGGCGGTCTGGCGGATGCTTTCAGCGTACGATTGCCACGGCTTTGAAACATCAATCTATATATGGCGAAAGGAGGTACCAAAAAAAAGGTACACACAAATCGTGCCGTGAGGTTCGCCGTATGGATTGGGAGAGGAAATAAGATGGAGAGAATTTTAGAACTTTACTATAAATTTACTATAACTATGGTTAGCCATTGGTTATAGTAAAGCGTCCAATCACAGTATAATAGTACATATAAACTTTATCTAAAAGGTTCGATTGCTCCATGTTATACCGCCATGTTGTCATGTCGAAATTCAGGTTTCAGTAAATATTTAAATGTGTTCAGTCAAGCTCTGTTATCGACCGAGATCGATAGACAAATCAGGGCGCGCGGCTAGTACGAACCGGCCCTGTCCTCTGTGCGCACAACGACTGCGCGTCGGCTTCATTCTCTCGTGGTGAACAACGACGCCTCGGATTTGTGATGCTCCGGACGTTTTGGATTCGTGGCCACTAACCATCTCACTAGCCGAGGGTGTATGCCCCTCAGGGAGGCGGTCAGGACTGCCAGGAGTGTTCTCGTCTCAGAGAGCTACTAAGTAAGCCGTGCATCGGATCAGGTAATTCTCTTCTGCTTCTAAAGCTCGGACCGTGTCGCTATCCTTCATAGCGTCACGCGTATGTAGGATTCACACTGCGTTTGACATCCGACATACGACGTCCGATATCCAATAGGAGAGCTTATTTTCTTGATATATAGCTAACAATATTTTGTAACAAGCTCTGCTATTGGATATCGTACCGTCGTACTTCGGATGTCGTACGCAGTGTGAATCCTACATAACGGTCGGTCGTACGACCACCGCCTGTTTCTATACGCTAGGCAAGTAGCTCTAGCAGCGCCGCTCAGTGGTCATTTTTTGCAACTCTGGGAGTATCAACAAAACGCGAAAACGAATAATATTCCAAGTCTTTCTTATAATTCATTAAAAATGAATCGAGCAAATCGGATGTGTTGTGTTGTCGGATGTTTCAATAGTGAACAAAAAAATCCTGAACTACAATTTTATCGGTTTCTTGGATATTCATGGGAAGAAGAGAGAAGAAAAAAGTAGATTGTGGCAGTACGTCGTCAAATGTAAGTATACAAATAAATAATTTGTGTTGAATTTTTTTGAAAATATAAAAAGAAATTAATTAAAAAGCGATCTATTTTTATTTCTATTTGACACTATAAAAAAAAGTCTACACAAATTATTATTTGTATACTTATGTACATTTGACGACGTACTGCCACAATCCACTTTTTTCTTCTCTCTTCTTCCCATGAATATCCAGGAAACCGATAAAATTGTAGTTCAGGAGATTTTTTCGTTTACTATTGAAACATCCGACAACACAACACATCTGATTAAAGAACAATTAAAGAAATATGCAAAAGGTCGCCAAATTTCTTCACGCATTTCTCGTTCTATTGCACATTTCTTTTCAGCCCTAAGCATTTCAGCCATTGAACAATTCAGATTTAAATGCTCTTCTGTTATATTTTTTATGTCATATATTTTAAAAACTTTATTATTTGATGAATATTCAATAGTTCCTTCTTTTTGTTCAAAAAGTTTTGTAATTCGGCGACCTTTTGCATATTTCTTTAATTGTTCATTGGACGGTCTATTCCAAATCATTGGTGAATCTGTTTTTGATAATGTATTTTCTACATTTACATAGTATATGCAAACAGAAGCTGCATGTTTACAGAATCCTTTTCCTCCTTTGCAACTGCATTCTGTATCGTTTATTATTTGATCTGAATTCAACTAAATAATAATTTATACACAAAAATTACATAAAGGATATACTTCAAAATAAATCTTATATTTTATTGTCTGTTTAATTAGTCAAATTTTTTTAATGCCGCGTTTAAATTGTATAAAGATTTCTACGTTATTTATCGAACATATTTTTATGTTACCTTTATTTTGTTATTTGATAAAAATTTTCATTTCGTTTTCTGCTTTCTACTCCCGAGGTTTCTCTTAAAACTGTTCCTAATATACGACGATAATTATTATTATTTCTTTGTATACATTAGAGAAACATGAAAACTATTAAATAGTTTTTGTCCTTTTGATGCACTTTTTTTTTTCCTAAAATTAAAACATCTAATTTAACCTCTTGAAATCCACTTCTAATTGTTACAACCATTGCTGACTATTCAACGATATATTTGAAACAAAAATCAGAATAAAACAGAATAAAACGGTAGCTGAATACGCATATGCGCGTTTATTCTCATACTCCCATAAAATAAAAATATAAACGAGAAATGGCGCTAGTGTTCCACGCAGTGTTGCCACATCGAGGGATTTATCCCTAGATTCGGGGATTTTGAAGGTTATCTGGGATCGAGGGAGGGATTCGGAGAATTTTAATTTATAGGGGGATTTTATATGGTTCCCGTAAGTAATAGATCGCGACATCGCCAATCCACGTCAATCATTCTTTCAATAACAGTTAATGGCCCCGTTAGGGCCATTCGGGGGTATTTCCGTACGTAATCACTGCTTGGCAAGCGATTAGGTGTGGTTAATTAAATCTATACGAAAGATCAATCATGTTCATTTGCTCGGCGAAGAAGTTATTAGGTGCATTCAGAAGTATGACCGCTCACTTAGCGCTCAATGAGCTTTTTTATCTAATTGGCATATTCCATTAGATCTAAAAATATAAACCAAACAGGTACAAGAGCTTACTGAGCGCTCAATGAGCTGTCGTGCTTCTGGATGCACCCATTGATATTACCTCAACT